ACAAAAAAAAAAAATTGCCAGGCATTCTGGTGGGCGCCTGTGGTCCCAGCTACTTGGGAGGCTGAGGCAAGACAATCACTTAAGCCCAGGAGTTGGTTGCTGTAAGTTGTGATGCCAGAGCACTCTACCGAGGGCGATAAAGTGAAACTCTGTCTCTAAAAATAAATAAATAAATAGTACTCTGAGTTAAACAGAAATAGCTAATCTTCATTCCTCTAGGCTTCAGGCCAGTTTCAGAAAGCTCTGGAAATCTTGAAGTCCTAACCTTTCTGAGTAAGTGAAATACATTACAGAGTTTGTACATCCCAGAGTTTGTACATCCCAGGACTCATGACAAGTCAAAAGCAAAGCAGGAAAAGACATACTTTGTAAACTCTAAAAGTTGACCTTCCTTGCACTGTTTGTTCTAAATTATTTGCATTAGCATGTAGGAGGCCTTTTGCAGAGAAAATGAAAGCTTATATAGATTTGCTCCTTGAAATAGTCACAGCAGAATCTGGGCCAAGGTTTTTCCAAATAGCATTTGTGGATGATTATGAAGTTTGTAAAAATCTTTAACCCCCTTTGTCATCTAGAAATAATGTAGCATCTGCGCTACTAGTGGATGGGAAGGACCTCCATGTTTAAACTCCCCATTGTAATGACTGCAAGAAGTTTGGCATTTTTTCAGGCAGTCTTCTCTAACACTCCGAATTCCAAAGACCATATGTGAAACTCTTTTCAATAGAACACTGCCAGGAATGTTGTTGGGTTTCAAAGCAACTGCCTGCATCCACAAATGGGGTTTCAGGCAGCTTCCTACGTTCCTTAGTTCTTGGAGCACTCTTGGTTGAAAAATGACCAGACACCCCAAAGTAAGGCAAGCATGAAACAAAGTTTACTCAGGAAGAGAAAGGTTTACAGAGCAAAAGTTTACAAAGCAAGATATGTTTGCTACAAACAGCAAACAAACTACATTGCTACAGCAAGTAAGCAAAGGAACCTGTTATGGCCAGTGCTTCTATTTTTTTAAGTGTCTGAGTTGGGCCTACCTTGTGGAATCAAGAGTCTTAACTGCCCATGCAGACCTCCCATGAGCCTCTCTGAAAGCCTCCTGGGTAGGGGGGACCACACTATAGACTTAAGCTACTAGCATGATAAATTAGTCTTAAGGCTGTGCTAGGTCATCTTTAAGACTCTGTTGTACCTGTTGCCAGGCTAGAGAGTCTACTACATCCTTTTGCTGTTGACATGCTAACTTCTGATTGGTAGAATGGTAGGACTCTCTGTCTAGGTGTGAGCAATCACTTGGGACAAAATTAGGGTGGGCAGCACCAAGATGAAGGGCTGCCCCTCTTGTCCTTCCCAGGATAGCCAGATTTCTAGCGATCTACTGAATAATTTTATTTCTATTTCTACTGCTATCTTGATTTGTGAATTTACCAAGTTTGCTCCTGAGAGTGGCATCTTATTGGAGAACTTGGGAGTAGTGCTTTGGAATGTTAAAGCATCAGATAGGCTCCAAGTGGTGTGTGTAAAATCAAGTGAGACTTTCAGGTGCATGGTCAAGACCACTCAGTTTAAGTGGCATATTTCCATCAGTCCCTGCATGGATATAGCTCAACTTCTCTCTGGTCTTGAAGTTAGGACAGTATGAATGTTTCAAGGGTCAGAACTAGGAAAGTGACTGTTACGGCATCTATCCACTTTTTGGACACAGCCTGCTGATAGGGTGTGGAATAAGTCACTGGAAAATCTAGTCTCAGAAGAGAGTCTTACTCCCTCATTTAACATTCCCTCACTTCTCAAGCTTTGCATAGCTTAGGTTGGGCAAACCCTATCACAGGTTTCCGCAAACAGCCTGCCTCTGAACTGTGGATGAGGTAGTGTTCACGGACAAAAAGACCAAGAAGGGGGCGGGATTGAGCTATTCTCCTCATTTTACCAACGAGGAATTTGGAAAAGGTAGATTTCCCCTTTATTGTTGTGTGATACCCTCAGGGCCAAATTGATAAGTGTTTAAGATGTCTTAAAAGATAAGTGAGAGATGGGTTTTTCCACTTAAGTTCTACCACAAAAAGAAAAAATAAATCGTCAAGAGCAGCCAAGTCAGCAGAGCCAGAGGTGGTCGGCCTTTTTCTAGTCCTCTAGGAACCCTTTGTTATTGAAATCACCTACTCCATCTCCTGCTGCGGCGGCAGAGGCTCTAGAGTGCCCTGTACACACCGGTGACGCCCAGGTCTTTGGCTTCCACTGTGTAGGACAAATAGCCCTCCGAGCCAGAGCGAGACCCTGGGCACACCAGGCAGAGCACAGGGGGCGCAGCGCCGCTTCCCTATCCGCGTGGGGTAGGGCGGGGCTTCCTCACTCGCGCGGGGCGGAGCGGGGCGGAGCGGGGCGGAGCGGGGCGGGGCGCTCCCGTCGGCGCTGCCCGAGCCGCCCTACTGCGCATGGCACGTTGCGTACCTCCCTCCCAGCAACCGGCCTGGCGGCAGCGCGGCCATAAAACTGAGGAGGCGGAGCTGAGACGATCGGGACTACTAGCAAACTCCAGGAACAGGTATCGGGCTGGCGGGGCCGCCTGGTGCGCTCCAGGGTCCAGTCCCTCCTCGCCCTGACGCCGATTCCATCTCCTCGGGGCCGAACATTCGTCAAAACGGCCATCCCGAGCTCACCCTCGCCCTCCACGGGCCGCCCTTAACCCGCGTTCTCATTCCCTCAATGAGGGGCCGCAGCCCGAGAGCAGAATAGGCTTAGGCCTGGCGGGGAGATGCTGGAGCGGAGTTGCCGGGCAAGAGAGGCGCGAGCTCCTGCTTTCCCAGTCCCTCTTTGTCTCTGAGGCTTCCAGGTGGGAAACCTGGGGCCAGTGTCAGTCTGTCCTGCTCAAGCAAAGTAGCAGTTGATCCCAGTGCTGACCTCCTACTCCCCCGTCCGTCTCATCCCAGGCTGGACGTGCAGCCCGCGCAGCCCTCATGAGGACACAAGATCTACCCATAAGACTTACATACTCAGCCAAAACATAGAGTTTCTATTTGTCTTTTTGTTTTCCAAGTATGTTTTAAGTACCTGCAGCAGATATGGAGACAGGGGAAGGGGAGTGGTTAACTAAAGTTGCTCTGGTTCTCAGGAAATGGGAAACTAAACTCTCTGCTCAGCTTTCTATTAATATCGTGGCGTACTTTAACTTGACTTACCCCAAATGGGAAACGCCGTTGAAATCGGGCCTGTTTTGTAATATCTGTTGAAGTAGAGCCATGTTC